CTCCTGGGTTCAAGTGATTCTCCTGCCTCAGCCTCCCGAGTACCTGGGATTACAGGCGTGCACCACCACACCTGGCTAATTATTGTATTTTTAATACAGACGGGATTTTACCATGTTGGCCAGGCTGGTCTCGAACTCCTGACCTCAAGTGATCCACCCGCCTCAGCCTCCCAAAGTGCTGGGACTATATGGGTGAGCCACTGTGCTCGGCCTGGGTTTTTAAGATTAAGTAAATGACTTCAAAAGAAAGTTAGTTCTTGTAGTGGATACTCGCATGTCTCCTGGGATTTGAATTCACTTGTCTTCCATCAGGGTATATGGGTGGCAGGGTGCGGTGGCTCACACCTGTAATCCCAGAACTTTGGGAGGCCAAGGTGGGTGGATCACTTGAGGTCAGGAGTTTGAGACCAGCCTGGCCAACATGGCAAATCCCTGTCTCTACTAAAAACAGAAAAATTATCCTGGTGTAGTGGCAGGTGCCTGTATATATTAATGCTTATTGCAATATTGTTAATAGCAAAAAAGAAAACAACTAAAGTGTTTATCAGTAGGGAATTTATTAAATTGTGATAGTTATAAGCTAATATTCTATTCAGCTATTAAAAGGAATGATGTAGATTTCTATTTACTAATATGGAAAGATTGCTTGATACTTTATGAACTACAAAAAGCAGGGTGCACATCAGAATGTATAGTATGATTTATCTGGCAAAGTGAACGAAGTAATAGATAAACTCATATATGTAAAAACGTATTTCCTGGCTGGGCACAGTGTTTCACGCCTGTAATCCCAGCACTTTGGGAGACCTAGGCTGGTGGATCACCTGAGGTCAGGAATTCCAGACCAGCCTGACCAACACGGAGAAACCCTGTCTCTACTAAAAATAAAAATGTTAGCTGGGCTATGGTGGTGGGCGCCTGTAATCTCAGCTACTCAGGAGGCTGAAGCACAAGAATTGCTTGAACCCAGGGGGCAGAGGTGGCAGTGAGCTGAGATAATGCCAGTGGCACTCCTGCCTGGGTGACAGAGTGAGACCCTGTCTCAAAAGAGAAAGGAAGGGAAGGGAAGCGAGGGGAGAGGAGGGAAGGGGAGGAGAGTCACAGAGGACCACCTGCTGTATGATTCCATTCATATGAAGTGCGCAGAATAGGCAAATCCATAGAGATAAAGCAGATTAGTGGTTGTCAGGAGCTGGGAGGGGAGGAAGGAATGGGAAGTGTCTGTTAATGAGCATGAAGCTTCCTCTGGGGATAATGACACTGTTCTGAAATTAGTGGTGATGGTTGCACACCCTTGTGAATATACCAAAAACCACTGATCTGTACACTCTACAAGGATGAATTGTATGTATGTGAATTATATCTCAATAAAGTTGTTGTATTTTAAGAAAGGAAATAAGCTCTATCCTGCCTTTCCTCAATGAACCATATTTTCAGGTAACTGCGTTACCCTGGTTGATGCGGGGAATTCCTGTTTACAGAAGAATTCCAGCTCATAGATGTGGAAAGAATGATAGAAATGCATTATATTACAACCCCTAATGAAATCAATGACTCAGAGATCTTCAAAAGAAAAACCCATTGCTTGGAAGGTTGATGGGGAAATTCCCAAAGGCGAAGTCTAATTGCTGCCACGCACCCCCACCAAGGGGGCCCATGGTGTGACTTCCCAGAAGCACTCAGCAAAACCTGTGAAATGCTCCTCCCAAAAAAAGTTGAATCTGGGCCGGGCCTCATGGCTCATGCCTGGAATCCCAGCACTTTGGGAGACCAAAGTTCAAGGACTGCTTGAGCCCAGGAGTTCATGCTCAGCCTGGGCAACACAGAAAGACACCGTCCCTATAAAAAAAACAATTAAAAAGTTAGCCAGGCACGGTGGTGCATACCTGTAGTTCCAACTACATGGGAGCCTGAGGCAGGAGGACTGCTTGAGCCCACGAGTTTGAGGCTGCAGTGAGCCATGATCACATCACCACACTCCAGCCTGGGTGACAGAATGAGATCCTGCCTCTAAAACATAATAATAACAATAATAAATTTTTAAAAATTAGACCCAGGCCTGGGTGTGGTGGTTCATGCCCATAACCCCAGCACTTTGGGAGGCCAAGGCAAGTGGATCACTTGAGGTCAGAAGTTCAAGATTAGTCTGGCCAACATGGTGAAGCGCCACCTCTACTAAAAATACAAAAATAAGTTGGGCGTGGTGGCGCGTGCCTGTAATCCAGCTACTCGGGAGGCTGGGGCATGAGAATCACTTGCACCTGGGAGGCAGAGGTTGCAGTGAGAGAAGATTATACCACTGCACTCCAGCCTGGGTAACAGAGTGACACTCTGTCTCAAATAAATAATAAAACGTTAGACCTGAATCTACTGAGACCTTGAGGGCTTATTTACAGGAAAGAGGGAGACAGAGAAGCTAGTTAAATGACAGTATAAGGAAGCAAACAGAGAATTCCAGAATGTGGGAATGCTATGGGACAACTGGCTCTATTTTTGGTTCAAGGCAACAAGAGGGAACAAACAAAAAACAAGGAAAGGAAAGACTTTGGAATAAAAGTGACTCAAAAGACAATTTTTAAAACACCACCACACAATTGTGACTCTGGTGGGAGGACTTTGTATGGATCCTGATTTGGACAAAGCAATCATAAAAAGATACTTGGAGACAATTAGCAAAACTTGATTATGACTGAATATTAAATTATTCCAAAGAATAATTCTGAATGTTGTTAGGCATGATCAGGGCATTGTGGAATTTTTTTTACAGATGCACACTGAAATATCATCTTCATGCACGCCGCAATGACATGATCTGGGATTTGCTTTGAAATACTTCTTCAGGCTGAGCACAGTGGCTCACGCCTGTAATCCCAGCACTTTGGAAGGCTGAAGCGGGCAGATCACCTGAGGTCAAGAGTTCGAGACCAGCCTGGCCAACATGGCAAAATCCCATCTCTACTAAAAATACAAAAATTAACCAGGTGTGGTGGCAGATGCCTGAGGTCCCACGTACTCAGGGGGCTGAGGCAGGAGAATCACTTGACCCTGGGAGGTGGAGATTACAGTGAGCCGAGATCACACCACGGCACTCCAGCCTGAGCAACAGAGTGAGACTCCATCTCAAAAAAAAAAAAAAAAAAAAAGAAAGGAAGAATATATTAAGAATATGTAGCAAAACTTAACTATTGAATCTGGATGATGGAAATACAGAAAATGTCTTATTACTTTCACTTTTGTGTAATTTATAACATTTTCAAAAATGGACGGGAACTAAAAAGTATATGCCAAGGATTTCTGGGAAGAGTTAAGAAAACCATTTCACAACAAGTAAACAGGAAGAAAAGCAATATTTATAAATTAATACGAGGCTGTGTTACATAGTTTGCGATTTTTAAGATTTGTGCAATCAAGTTGGTAAATTGTATAAACAACTATTCATCTATATACAGCTCTTCAAGTTTATGTCTGCAAGGTTTATCTACACTTCTTCAAGTTTATGTCTACAGGGTGACCAACTGCTTAAAAAGTTATCCTTATAGGGAAAATGCAGAGTTTCCCACATGTGAATAGTAACTGCGCTTTGGCAGGGCAT